GCCGGTGGTGCTGTGCGTCTGAGACCCGGTTAAATGAGGTGCCGCTGCTGGTGGGCGGACAGGTCACTGCGAGGCCAGCCCACGACAACCCTGCATGTGCATCGCTGCCCCCGCCTTTTGGGGAAAGTGAAGTGAGGCAGAGCCGGTGTGAACAAGCCCGTGGAGGGTGAACTTCAGACGGGAGCACCCGGAGCAACTGCTTCTCTGCGGACTCGGGTTCCTAAACCGGGGGGAGGGGGGGGCAGGCGGGAGCTGCCGCACAGGTTGCTTGGCCAGTTTCACTGTTTCTCACAGGAGGTTCTTGTTGTTTCTTCAGCCCCTTTGGTAGGAAGCGTGTGCGTGACGGTGCTGGCCTCCGTGTAGTGGTGCCGACATGGCACCTGTGTGCACAGGGTCTGCAAGGGCTCAGGCGCGGGTCCCCTTACCAGGCTCACCATTGGCCGTTTTCTCTTGTTCTTGTCAATGTATTATTTTTAAAATCAAATTTTCTTTTAAAAAAATGTTTATTATTACTATTTTTTAATCTTTACTCAAGGATATGTTTTCACTGATTTCAGAGAGAGAAAAGAAGGGAGAGGGAGAGGGAGACATCGATGGGTTGCCTCTTGAACGCACCCAGATCGGGGTTTGAACCTGAAACCAGGGTATGTCCCCACTGGGAATCAAAGCTGCGATCTTTTGGTGCAAGGACAGATGGCACTCCAACTAACTGAGTCACACAGGCCAGGGCAAAATTAAATTTTCTTTTAATTTTAAAGTAAGTAAGCCACATGACTGGTGTGGCCCAGTTAGTTGGGGCATCGTCCTGTACAGCAGAAGATGAGCAGTTCAATTCCTGGTCAGGGCACATACTCAGGTTTCGGGTTTGATCCAGGTCGGGATGAGTTCGGGAGGCAGCCAATTGATGTGTTTCTCTCTTTCTCTCCCTCTCTCTTTTTTTCTCTCTCCCTCTCTAAAGTTCATTTTTTTAAAAAGTACATATTGAAAATGATTTTTAAATGTTAGAGTTTGTTCTTTAATGTGACAAATCAAGGAGAATAAAAATTAAGGTAGGGCAGCCCTAGCTGGTTTGGCTCAGTGGATAGAGCGTGGGCCTTCGGACTGAAAGGTCCCGGGTTCAGTTCTGGTCAGGGCACGTGCCTGGGTTGCAGGCTCGATCCCCAGTAGGGGGCGTGCAGGAGGCAGCCAGTCAATGATTCTCTTTCATCATTGATGCTTCTCTCTCTCTCCCTTCCTCTCTGAAATCAATAAATATATATTTTTTTAAATTAAGGTGGGGCAGGCGGTCCCTGGGTGCTAATGCGGTTGTCACTTGCTCTCCGGAGGGAGCTCTGAGCAGGCGGAAGGCTGGAAGCTAGCCCTGGGCGGCGGGAGGCAGAGGTACCGTGTTCGGAGGAAGCTAGTGTTCGACAGGGCCCTTCGCCTGGACGAGAGGAGGCTCTGCCAGGCTCATGGGGCAGCCCGGCCGGTGCTGCTCGGACCCCAGTCTCGCTGACCTCAGCCACACGGTGCGATTTGGAAGCTGCTGTTTCGCTCTCCTGAGTCTGTTCTTTATTTCCAGGCAAAGGAAGCCAACCATAAGCAGAAAGAGTTTGAAGAAATCGCAAAGAAAGTCCGCAGTGCCATCGAGCAGCTGGCAGCCATGGAGTGAGGCCCCGCGCGCTCCTGGTCCCGCGGAGGGTGTCGTCGCCAAGGCTCGGTCCCCAGTGTCGCCGCTGCCTGTGGGCCGTGGCAGTGACCTAGGAAAGGAGGCACTGACCGTGTGGAGTGAGAACTTAAGCCGCAGTGTTTTCTCGTGAAAGCGGGGCCACGGCGTCCTGTCTGCGCCTGGCGTTGCTGAGGGCCGCGCTGATTCTCTTTCTTTGGTTGCCAGGGA